TATCGCCCCCTGACAAGGGTCACGGAAGGCACGACATCAGTCGGACAAGGAGAACATATGAATTAAAGTGCGGGGCACTCTCCGAGATTGGATGTAGACATGTGTCGCACGATGGCAATCCTAAAAGGGGATCAGGCCTTGTATGGGTGTAAATACCTTATGTTCCAAGCTTGGTAGACTGTGCCGCTATTGGGTAGTATGTCGGAGCCGTACAGTGCCATTGTTATTGACTCGGTCTGTGTGGTAAGGACCATCTCTCTCTTTTTTTTAATTTGCAATACACGGCTCTTAGCCTTATTCGCGACTCGATCCTAGATAGGGTTTGAGTTCGACTCATGACTGAGTTCTTTCGTGAATAGTCATTGAGACAGGGTTCTCAATGACCTAGTCATACTAGGTCGATGGTGAAACATCGCGCAAGATATTTAGCTGGCTGGGAGAGATTCCACGCTACTAGATAAATGCTAGACGAATCTTCCACGCGTTCCGTTTTTGGATCGTGGAGTGGTAGGATGCTACCGCAACTACTTATCACACTCTACAGTCTCCGCGGGAGTTCAGATCTACGATCCTTTATTGTGGATCTCTCTCGTTGATTAGTTTTCATAGCTTTCTAATCCTCTCATAACTTTCATTCTCTCAAACTCAAAACACTCGAAAGATCTTTACACTAGCTTTTAGCGTAGTGCATTTTTTAACAAACACAATAGCTTAGCTTTCAGCTACCCTCAACCTATTCCTCACCATGAAGATTGCCAAAGACGCATACACCAGCTAGATGCAACAGCAGATGCAACAGCAGCAGGCCGCACTTCAGGCTCAGTATGACCGAGAGCGAGCTCAGATGCAGCAACAGATGCAGCAGCAGGCAGCTGCTCCTGTTCCTGCTTCTGCCCCTTCGTTCAACTTTCCAGTTGCCGGTATGAACTTGAAACCTCCTCCGAACTTTACTCCGGTTGCCTCGGCCATCTTTACTCCGGTCAAGCCTTCACCCAAGCAGGCTGCAGCCAAACCTTCAGCCAAGCCAAAGCCACCACCACGAGTTGAGACTGTCTTTACTCCAGTTGAATCTCCAGTGCCGGCTCCAGCGCCGGCTCCAGCCGTTCGGAAGAAGCGAAGCAAGGAGTCACCACCTACAGTCTTTGGCCAAGGGCAACCAATTAAGAAGCGGAGCTTTGATGAGGATGATGGTGGTGGCACCAACGAAGAGTTGATCTATGAAGACGAGAATGAAGTGACACTCTCAACAGATAGTAGCAGTGGCAGTGGTAGCAACAGTGACAGTGGAACGGATAGCGATGACGACGAGATCCGAGGTGTCTAGAGGTCTGACAGAGGAAACACAACAATTGACAAAGTGGCATGAGCCTATTATTGGACCGAGACGTATTGGAGACAGTATTGGAGATGAAGAAATCAAAACACAAGATAGTTATCTACTCTGAGTAACAGTATTCTAGTTATTCCATTCTATCCTATTGGTGTCGTTACCTCACTAGAAGTGTTGGAAAAGACGTAGCTTACCCTCTACCCCCGGTTGGGTTTGGGGCTTGGGGATTGGGGATGCAATTGCCCTTGTGAAAGCTACCCATTTATGTCTCCGTGGATCCCGCAAAGCCAAACCCTTTGCCCCCCGTAATGGTCCTCCGAATCTTGCCCCTGATCCCACAGAACCTAGTCCTGAATTTCGACTGTTCTATGCTTAAACCTGGCCCCGGCTGGCTTCCGTAGATAATTTCCCTACTCTAAACCCCCCATGTAAACATGGGATGATGGGACTGCACGAGCTGAAGGTGCTTTTTTAAAATTAAAAGGTAAGACCATAAGACTATTTCTAACTAGCTAGATTAGCTTTTGGTTGAGCACGCAAAAATGTGTGTATTGTTGGTAAGCAAACTATCAAAACCAAAATTCTCTCCCTTTCTCTCATCGTTTGTTCTTTTTGGTTAGTGTCAGTAGTTCCACACGCCACCACAACCGGACGTCTCCTGGGACATCAAAGACATCCGAACCAAACCTTCCATAACCAAGGCCACTGGGAATATCCATGGTTCGAATTTCTCCGGGACACATGCCGTTGACGCCAATATCGACTCCATTGATGACTTCCCCAGATCCTACGGTAAAGGAGACGGATTTACCTCGTTCCTGGGTAGAGTCATATATTGGGCCACCTGGAGAGGCAACCCTGGCTTCAAAGTTGATTTCCAATGTGTCGCCTCGTCTGGCTCCACCATTCTCGCAGGAAGCTGGATTTTGTATTCTTAGGACAACCAGCCCGGTTCCTTTGGCTGATAGCGGTGGTTCCTTGGCCACTTCTTGGCTTGCTTTTTCCTGCGCCGATTGCAAGGCTTGTAGTGGAGTGATATTCGTTTGACCATCGCCTTCTGCATTGGCCAAATCATAAAACTGCAAGACAATGGGATAGGGTCCCTTGCGAATACGCTCAACGACACTTTTCGAAGCTTCTTTGTAGTTGTTTCCCAGTACAATCATTCCTGGCTGGACATTTGCCAAGGCAGCGATACTACCGGATTGCACTGACTTGGCCGCGGGAAACGTTTCACTACCAATAGCTACGTCATACAGATAAACACCCAGCTTCATTTCGGGGGAATCCAGAATCACGTTGGTAATGGCTTGTGGATCCGGGGTAAAAGAAGATGCGATGGAAGGCCAGCAAGACCATACCCCCAAGGCCGTTGTTAGCACTTGGCGACGGCATAGTGCAGATCTTGAATGGTCAAGCGAGAGGTCACTTTGGGAGGCAGAGGATTGGGTGCCGTAGGATGGCAGAGACAAAGAGTTGCAAAAACCTACTAGGAGATAACCATAGGCAGACAAAGAGAGGAGCCGATTGAAAGTTGACATGGTGTTGACTCTTCAATTGATAGAGTTAGTTGTTTGTTGTGAAGGTGTGATGATGGTTGTCAAAGTAAGTGCCGAGGAGGCCAAGATCTTCAAAGATACCATTCGCGAGTCCAGTCCCGTGTATCCTTGCTTACAAGATATGCTTGAAGCTTTGATGAGATGGCTCCTGGTGTGATTTCTAAAGGACAATCTCTTATTAGTAAACTACCGGTACAATCATTAGCATTTTAGTGATCACATACATTGGATCTTCACTGGTGTATTTTGCTGGAATGAACTGGAGCGACCTCTTTCCAGAACCTGTTCATCCTTTCATCATTGCTTCGCAGAGCTCCAGGCTGTGGTTTTGCACCGCCCCACAAAAGCCCCATTTTCGTCGTGTTCCTTTCACCGCCAAGCCCAGCTAAAAAGCTCTCCATTGATCGAAACGAAGCACGGAATGATCCCTGAGAGTAAACGGGCCGTCCTCGGCTGCGGTTTTATGTGAGAATGCGCGGTTTCTGGCAGGGCTATAGTACAACCGAAATGGTTGCTCTTCATGTACGTACCTGCCTTTGTTATTGGATCCAAGAGATCTGACAGCATCAACCGAATATCCTCGAGCGACTTCAAAACGTAGAATTTGTTTTCCTTGGCTTTCCAACCAAGAGTCGGGGGGTTGTCGGCACAAAAAAGTTGTGAAGCGCGGATGAGACGGCCCAATGTCCAACTGTTGGGATTGAGAAATTCTAGGAGGCAGAGCTTTGTTGAGTTTTCTTGGATGGTAAAGTCCTCCACAATGTCGAGCGCCGCCAATAGTTCCTTCACAGTTCCATTGTAGCTCACAAGTTCATGCGAAGGTTGATCCAGGTCCCGGTGTTGCACATGACCGCCCAGGGCGTGTTTCAGATACAGACCCGAACCAAGGTTGCCCTTGAACGTAATCTGATAACCTGTTTTCGTGGCCTTCAAGCGATCCTTTTCGGTAGCCATGGAGCGGCTGAGGTATGTACATGTGTGAAACACTGACACGCAAAGCGGCACAGCAGCAGCAACACGAAAGGTTGTGGTGGTGATTTGGGTTGCGCGTTTCTTGTCCTCTCGTTCTCCTGCAAGTTGAACCACCAAATCTTTCTGGTCCCGGAATACAATGATCCCACTGGCCAGCAGTGAGGACCACTTTTCTGTCTCGGTAGGAGGAAACATGGAAGTTTCAAAAATGAACTCTGTCTTTCGTCTGTTCCAGCCTTGAAACAGGGATTGCACTGTAGCTTGGTCATTGGACATGTCACGGCTGTCGTCCAGAGGGTGTAACACCCGTACAGGAATTTGAATCTTGTCAGCTGCTGCTTTCAGCTGAGAATAGTCCTGTGGCATTTCACAACTGCCGTGTGTGATCAAATCAATGACGGAATCCAAGACGTCTTTTTTCCAATCGAAAAGTGATGCCTCGCCGCGTTGATCCGGTTTCAAGAGGTTTTGGAAGAACTTGGACTTCTTTTTCAGAATCTCACATTCCATCAGAGAGACCACAACCGCATCATTGTCTTGGCACCGAATGATGAATGATCGCTCCTTGGTGAGCTGTGTCTTGTTGTCATTGGAGGCTTGTGTAAGTGCCGCTGGTTGCTGTGGGATTGGCGCCTTTGCCACTTGTTTTTGCTTCTCATCACATGCTGCAGCTTTCTCCTTCTTTGGAGTGCTCTCTCCCGACACCTTCAATCGCTTTGCTTGCACCATGGTTTTAGTTTTGTGACGACGATCTGTTCGACGCTCGTTTGAAAGAAAAGGTGTTCAAGAATTCGGGCAAAACCGGAAATTCGAATAGATTCGATTCGGATTAACCGAATTCGGCCGAACCGCAACGGGTCGCCACTGGTGCCGTCAACTGGCACAGCCCAAAGCCAAGCAACACCCGCCGCACAAACCCAACACAAAGGCAACACCAGTAAAAGTATACGGTAAGAGAGCAGCACCATGGCAGGAGACGACGACAAGGAAGAGACGGCAGCTGCCAAAGGCGGTGAAGATGAAGAGGAGGATGAAGAAGACTTGGAGAAGCTGCAGGCAGAGATTGCCCGTATGGAGGCTGAAGCCGCGCGCATCACCAAGGAGACGGAGCAGTTGCAAAAGAAAAAGGATGGCCTCGAGTCATCCACTGTCGGTGGACCTGCGGCGGCAGGCAAAGCTGCCGCTGGAGGAGAAGCGCCCAGTCGGGATGGACTGTCCATTTATGTAGGACAAGTGGAATACTCGACGACACCCGAAGAGCTCTTGGCCCATTTTCAACCGTGTGGCACCGTGGAACGAGTCACCATTGTTTGCGATAAGATCACTGGTAGACCCAAAGGATTCGCTTATCTCGAGTTTGGGGTAAGTGTCACAATCGTCATGTTCATCAGAGTTCCTATGAGCGAGTTTCTTATTGCTAAATTCCAATTTCTCACTATACTCACTTCTATTTACTTGATTTCCCCTGTCAATCTGTTTTTGCAGGACGAAGCGGCTGTCGAATTGGCAATCAAATTGGACGGATCCGAGTTTAAAGGTCGAAGTTTGAAAGGTATTTTTTGTGACACGCGAGGACCATGCCTTGCTGCCGGAAGCTGTGCTATCTAGCTAGCTAGTTGTCAATCCACTCTCTTTGGATGCTTTTTTTGCTCATTCCGTTCCTTTTTGTTTTTGCAGTGACGCACAAGCGTGTCAATATTGCCGGTTTCAGTCAAGGTCCTGGAGGACGTGGTCGTGGAAGAGGTGGGTATCGAGGAGGCTACCGCGGAAGAGGACGTGGCAGAGGAGGTTTTCGTGGAGGACGTGGAGGTTATCATCCCTACTACTAGCTAGCTGACGTTGCTGGTAGGGGATGGATCATGTTGGGATGGGGATGATGCGCACCAAAGTAATGAATGCGTGTGCACTACTCGTAACTGTACAACACAAACAAACAATCATCAAAGGTAAGTTCCCCAGACTGGGCTTTTTGGAGTATTTTCCATCCAACTCGGATGTCATACTTTTGGCGGCATCGAGTGATGCTTCGAGCCTTGGAAGGAACATATATATATGCATTGTCGTTGTTGTGGATATTGAAAACATTGATCGTTTGAATCTGGTGTAGGGCTCGATAGCTGGAAACAAAACAAAAAAAGGCCAAAAAAAGAAAAGAAAACAATCAAAAAGAAAAGAAGAAACATAGAAGAAAACAATCAAAACAAAAGGAAAAAGACAAAATAAGTAAAGAAGCCTATAAGAAATCCAATAAACAGAAGTAGTAGTCTACTAGATTTCAAGAGCTAGCTAGCTAGATTGCAGTTTCCAATAGGGAACAAGGGTCGACGAAAGCCGTCGCACGCACAAACTCTTGATCACAATACACCGTGGTTCCAATGCATTTTCCAGTGCGGAGATGAGGGACAAGGCTTCCATGAGACCGTCTGGGCCAGATAACCCTCCGACATCGACATAGACAACGTCAAAGCCAATCCGTTGGTTGACATCATCGTCTGTTTCCTGTTGCAAAAAGTCTTTTTGGATTCGTAGCAACTCGGCTGTTCGCCAGGCATCCCCCACGGCAAAGTAAATGTTGGCATGGCGCCGTTGTGCCCCCTGCACAATCTTGTTTCCAATATCCACCCCAATGCAGTATCCCTTGTGAGTACCGGTATCAGTATCATCACGACTTATTGCTGCAGCCTGATGAATCATGGCAGTGGAGGTTCCCAAATGACAACCAATCTCCAGGACGGCATCACCCGCTTGAACCGTAAAAGGAATGGTATCCCGGTATTCGGGGACACCCACGGTGGCCACAACATAACAAGGAGCTCGTTGTTCCGATTTCTTGGCAGTAGTGCTGATTGTTGTTCTGTTGTTGTTGAAATAATAAGAAGCTCCTTGGCACCATTTGCGGCCATGAATGATCCGGGACGCCCATTGGTTGAGGCTTAGTGATTTGATCAGGACCAGGCGGCACGGATTGTTGTTGTCATTCAAAGCCACAAACTCTCGAATAATGGACAGAGTGGTCCATTCCAGGTCATTTCCTACAATCGAGTTGACATCCACCACAAATACATCATAGGAGGATACTAGTGACTGATCACCAACAGAGAAGAAAAAGGCGTGCCTCCAATCTTCCAATCGCTGAATCTCCTGAAACCTGGCAATGCCTGGAAAAAAGTCGGTTTCGTCTCCTTCCATTCGCATGGCTCGTGTTCGATCCTTCCGTTCCGTATTCTTGGGGAACTTTCGAGTGGTATCCACCAGCATGGCATTTCCTTGGGTAGCTTCACAAATGGCGGTAGATACCTCTCGAAGTTGCGATCCAAGCTCTGCCACACAATCACCCGGTTGGACCAGGTTCCGAACGGCATGAGCGAGTTCTTTGGTGGACGAACAGGTGATCCATTGCTGTTTTTCCTTCACACTGCTGCTGCTGCTGGTGCGATCTTCTTGTGATGATGGGTTGTCGCTTTTTGTGGTGGAAGCATAGAAGACCAATCTGTTTCTCCGCCTTGGGTATCTCGCGAAATTATCAGCCCGTTGACTACTCCTAATTAAGAATGGCTGAGTGTGATAAAAGCAGAGCACGAGGCACAGGAAAGAATGTAGTTTGGTCATCATCCTAGACAGCAATAGCTACCAGCTAGCTAGCTACTAGTAGTAGAAGTATTAGTAGCTGGATGCTGGGATACGGTCAGGGAAGCTCCAGGTTGGAATGGATGAAAAAATGATCAAAACAGGGATTCCGTGGGCGACTTGATGTCGCCAGGCTACCGTTTTCCAAAGGGTTAACACACCTTTTTGAAGGCAATGACAAAAGCTTGGCTTCGTTCGTTACTACATGTATCATATTATTTCCAAGCTGTTGTTGTTGTTGTTGTAGTACTTGCTAGCTAGACTAGACTAGTAGTATCAGTTGAACATGACGATGGAAGATAAGAACGACGGCACCAACAACCGACTGTCGGGCGGAACTCCCTCCTCTCGATCATCAAAGGGCACTCGGTCATCGCCTCATCGAGCCCCCGCAGAAGAAGAAGTACCCATCACAGAGGCAGAAGCAGCACAGCCGGATCTAGCCATCTTTGTACATGACTTGCTCCAGGAGATGGAAGGCAGGTTCTCCGAAATGGGGGACTCCATTTCGGGGCGAATGGAGTCTATGGGAAAGAAAATGGAAGAATTGGAAACCAGTGTCAACGAACTCATGGAACAAGCTGGATTACCACCACCAGCCACTCAGCCTCCTCCTGGGACACCGCCCTTGCCACCACCACCACAAGACAAGGCAACCCCATCACCAACCGCTGCAGCAGTGCCACGTATGGTGCTTTAAAATAAGAAAACGAAACAGTAGACTATTGTGACTACTACAATCACATGCGCGCATTTCTGGAGCCGCAATGGTATTCTCTAGTTCATACCGGTACGGTATATACCGGTACATGTATTTGTTCATCGTAGCCTTCCAGTAGTTCCTGAGGAGGGAAGAGCGATCAATCCACAACCAGCTCAGCTCTGGTTCAAGGACGAAGTCCGACAAACAAGCACTCCAGCAAGCGCAAAAACCAAGACAGTAGGTTGATTGTTGACTTTCAGCCACCAGTAGACCGAGCATGCATCTGCTTTCTGAGTACCAAACAGTTGCAACAAAACTATAGACTTCAACCAACACAACGCACAACGAAACGAGAAGGAGAACGCATGGGTGCCCGTCCCATCTCGGCCAGTCACCGAGACCCCGAGTTCACAGAGAAAAGCTCATTGCTTGGATGCCCATGAATCTACGACACCATTGAAGCTTCGGCAACACGACGGTAAAGTCAGTGTCCGCCGCCAGAGAGCACAACGAATACCGCAGCGCATCAGACTACTACGCCATTCATTTGACAGACATGAGGTGGCCTGCATGAAGAACGTCTGATATACTAAGCAAGACGACTCAGGGTGAGTTCGGTACTGCACAACCTGGACAGGTTGGTCTACGAAAATAACACAGCAGCATGGCAAATACTCAAGCACAAACCGTAGCGCTTCAATGAGCCACCATAGATAGTCATCCCTGCCATTAATGATGTTCTTCGACAACTTTTGGGCCTCCTATCAAATATAAAAAGATTACCTAAAACATGAATAAAAAGATGATCCTGTTGCAGAAAGCAAAGAAATCAACTGGAATAGAGGGATGACGGGACGTCTGGTACATAGTGACAAGCAACAAAACGGTATGCCCGCCCAGATGCATGTCTCACCAAGCTCTCTCGAACCGTATGTAACCCACAGGTATTAGTAAAGTCGCCACAAAAAAAGGATTTGCTTGTCTTGTGTGCACCTGTAAAGTAGTGGTAGTGAAAATAATACAATCATAAAAAAAGGCAGCAAGTGTTTCGTTTCGTTTTCTTCCGAAAAGTAAGTGGCTTGTTGGCTTGCCTATGCGTGCTTGGGAATATCTTGCGCGTTGACGTATTCGACCCGGAGCTGTCTCTTGTCGAACCATCTGCCTGCAAGACTGGAAGCGCAGTTGCTCGCGGCCTCAACGGTATCAAAGCTGGCATAGATCTTACCACCGGGATCATTTTGCATCACCAAGACATGAGAAATGGTTCCAAACTTGGAGCATTCTTCGCGAAACTCGGCAGCAATGTCGTCGGCCCATCCGGGCTCTGTTTCTTCGTCCTTGTCATACATGTTTTGAATCAACAAGTGCTGGGAGGGTTGGTCGGCTCTCCCAATGATCTTAGCATCCGTTGTTGCAACAGCAAAGCTGGCCACCATGGATGCCGCCGCAGATGTCGCCAGACTGTTTCGAGCTTCGGCCACAGTGGGAACCTTGTTGACCGCTGGCGGCGCCGCCACAGCCATTGGATTTGCCGCCGCCGGGGGCAAAGCGGCTCCCAGAGCGAGCTGCGTGAGAACCAACTGCGCCTTTTGTGCTCGTACACTGGCATCTTCTGGGAATAGTTCGGATGTGACCACACTGACCCCTGGAGCGGCCGTGGTCATGGTGGCCCATCCCGTTTTCATGCATTTTCCGGCCAGTACTTGGTTGGCCATGGCAGAAATGGCCAAGTGTGCCTCTTTAGGATCACGGAACGAGAGGAATGCGTACCCCTTGGAAATGCCCGAGGCTGGATCCATTTGTAGACTGACCTTGGTAAGATTACCAAATTCACTAAAGAGCTTGAAGAGATGTTCTTGCGTAATACTGGGATCGAGATTTCCCACGTAGACCTTTTGTGATTCTTGGAGTCTTCCGTCGGGTCCAATCATGGGTTTGGCAGTGGCAGCAGCAGCTCCCATCATGTTGGCCGTGACAGTGGCAGTAGATGCCGGGACAATGTAATTCTTTTCAGCTTCAGATGGTTTGACCAGAATGGGAAAGCGTTGAAAATCGGGTGGTTGTCCCGACACACCGAGTGCTTTTCCCACGTCGTCCATACTCTTCAATTCGACATAGGCACAACCCTTTTGTTTTCCAGTACGACGATCCTTGAGCATGACCACTTCATTGACCTTGGCTCCCACCTTGCGCGAGAAATAGCGTCGAATATCCTTGGAGGTGGTTCTCATGACGAGTTGATTGACAAAGACAGTCCTCTGATCTTTGGTAAAATTGTCGACAGCTCCCTTGTTGTTGTTGTTGTTGTTGTTTTCAACGCTTTCTTCGTCATCCGATGAAGAAGAAGAGGATGAGGACGACGACACGGAGGATCCCGAACTGGAAAACGATCGGGAGCGACGACGACGTGTCCGACGACGATCCTTGCGACGACTGCGTCCTCGCTTGCGTCGCTCATCGTCGCTGACAGATCGAGATCGACTGCGGCTGGACAAGGATCGACTACGACTGCGACTCCGCGAAGAATAGCTGCGGCTGATGGATCGCGAGCGACTGCGCGACGGGTAACGACGCGGAGCTCTTCCAAAGTCATCATAGTTGTGACTGCGACGAGAATCTCTCATGGCGTAATGACCGGGAGGAGGAGCTCTTCCAAATCGATCTTCATACGACGGAGGGCCTCTACTAGGAGGTCCTCCATTGTCCCAAGGGCGACCACCATAGTCGTTGCCTCGTCCTCCTCGTGGACGACCATAATCGCGTCGGCGTTGTTGTTCCATGGAGGAAGAACGACGGCCACGGCGACTGTGATCACTGCCAATCGGAGAGTCGTTCTTATTCTTGCCTTCTTCCTTGCTATTCTTGTTGTTGTTGTTGATGCCCTCCGAGTTGTCCGACTCACTCTGGCGACGATCTTTTTTGGCCATGAGACGCTCTCGCAGATTCTTCTCCACTTTCTTGCCTTGCAGACGGTCTCGCAAACGAGCCTCTTCGTCCGTGGCAATGTCAACGTTGGGTTTGATGTCCTCGCCCATGTTGTCTTGCTCTCTTCTTCTTCTTGTCGTCTCCCTGATGGTGGTTGTCTCTTGTCTCTTGTTGTTGTTGTTGTTTCGGTGGCGTTGCTTTTTGGTTTGTGTGCACGCTGTGTCTTGTGCCTTGAAATTCTGATCAGGGGCAGTTTACTCTTTGGTGCGAAGGACAGACGTGTCAATCTTACTTAGGGTGAAGGTTGACTTTCGGACGCCAATCATTAATTTTTCGGATCATTTTTTCTTCCCTCCATCATTCTCAAAACAATCCTTTCTTCCAAGGGTAGTTTCCCATTCACTTTGGTTATAGATCTACTGTTGGTTGTAGTCTATTTTCTGACAAACAATGGTGAAAAAGCGCTTGGATGAACGTGTCAGGACTCTGCTGGAACGAGGAGTGATCCATGGACAACGTTCCATGATGGTATTGGTGGGAGATCATGGCAAAGATCAAGTTCCCAATCTGCATCAAATTCTCAGCAAGACCACCTTGCAGTCGCGACCCAAAGTGTTATGGTGCTACAAAAAAGACCTTGGATTCTCCACCCATCGACAAAAGCGCATGAAGAAATTAAAGCGCGACAAAGCTCGTGGATTGCTCAAATCGACCGATGGAACTTCGGATACCGCCGATAACTTTGAACTCTTTGTCACGTCCGCCGATATTAATTGGTGTTATTACAAAGATACCCATCGCGTGCTGGGAAATACATTTGGTGTATTGGTATTGCAGGATTTTGAAGCACTGACACCCAATATCATGGCACGAACCATTGAAACTGTTCAGGGAGGAGGATTGGTCATTTTTTTACTAAGAAGTGTCAAATCACTCAAACAACTCTACACCATGACCATGGATGTTCATGCCCGGTACCGCACAGAAGCAGCATCCGATGTTGTTCCAAGATTCAACGAACGATTCATACTGTCGTTGGGCAAATGCCACAATTGTCTTGTTTTGGACGATGAACTCAACATTCTACCACTCTCCAAAAAGGCACTCTCCAAGTTAGGACAAGAATCGTATCGGCGAGGAGATGCCGGAGAAGTCATTGTCCCGCCTACGGAAGAAAATCAGGAATTAAAAGAGTTGCAAGACTCGTTGGTGGAAACACCCCATGTCGGTGTATTGGTGGAGTTGACCAAAACGCTCGATCAAGCCAAGGCACTGCTCGTATTCATGGATGCTTGTGCCGAAAAGACCAACAAGTCCACCGTTGCCATGACGGCGGCTCGTGGTCGTGGAAAGTCAGCGGCCATGGGACTGTGTTTGGCGGGAGCCGTTTCATTGGGATACTCCAATATTGTAAGTGTTTCAATCATTATTGATATATTTACAGTACGATCTACCCGAGTACTTGGTCGCAAGAAATGATGTTGACTCACTCTTTTACCCATTCATTCTTTCTTTGTTGGTAGGTTGTCACAGCTCCAGAACCGGAAAACTTGGTGAGCGTCTTTGACTTTTGCGTGCGAGGCTTGAAAGCCCTCAAATACACGGAACACTTGGACTATACAATAACCTACAACTCAACTTCGGGGAGAGAAGCAATCAAAGCCATTGTGTCGATTCAGCTTCATCGTACTCACCGACAGACCATTACTTACATTCCACCGGGGGAGACTGACAAGTTCAACTCGGCAGAGATTGTGGCCATTGATGAAGCCGCCGCCATTCCTCTTCCATTGGTGAGTGCACTCATGAACCAGCCGGATCGGTTGACATTCATGAGCTCCACAATCAATGGATATGAAGGCACTGGAAGGGCTCTCAGTCTGAAACTGATCAAGGAACTGAGGGAGAGAAAAGGAGGACGTCAAGCAGCACTACAAACTGCCAAGGCCGCCGCCGCAAGTGTTACAGGGGCTACCTCCAACAAGGGCGAGTTCAAAGTACACGAACAGAGATGGGCGGCAGCAGCTGCAGCTCTCTCGAGTGAGGGTGCAGATACGTTGGAAGGTCCCTTGAGAGAAGTCGAACTCATTACGCCGATCCGATATGCGGCCAAAGATCCTATTGAATCATGGTTGAATAAGCTCTTGTGTCTGGATTGTGGCGCTGGTTCCCTCATGAAGCTCAGTGGTGGAGCGCCGGCACCGAGTACTTGCGAGCTTTACAGTGTGGACCGGGATGCGTTGTTCTCGTATCACAAATTGTCCGAATCTTTTCTGCAAAAGCTAATGGGACTTTACACGAGTGCTCATTACAAGAATACTCCCAATGACTTGCAGATGCTCTCGGATGCTCCAGCCCATTCGGCTTTTGTACTCTTGTCCCCGTCGGCAGAGAAAGATTCGAATTCGCTTCCAGACATTCTTGCTGTGGTCCAGGTCGCCTTGGAGGGCCAGATTTCTCGCAAGGCTGTGGAAGCTCAGCTTGCCAGAGGCCATCGTGCCGCTGGCGACCTCATTCCTTGGACGATAGCACAACAATTCGGAGATTCCAAATTTGCCCAACTGAGCGGTGCCAGGATTGTTCGTATTGCAGTGCACCCATCGGTGCAAGGAATGGGCTACGGTTCTCGAGCAGTCGAACTGTTGTTTCGTTTCTACAATGGCGAAATGGTCTCATTGGCAAACCGGGGCGACGATGAGGGAAACTCGTCCGACGAGGAAGAAGAAAACGAGACTGAGGCAGAAAGCATCGACGAGGATTTGCCTGAGAGCAAAGGTAGCGGAATCAAGGGAGAAAAACTGGCTCCCAAAAAGAATCTGCCTCCGTTGTTGCTGCCTCTCACAGAGGTGGCGGCTCCACGTCTCGATTGGATAGGGACTTCGTTCGGTTTGACTCTGCAGCTGCACAAGTTCTGGAGTCGCACCCGAATGCAACTTCTGTACCTTCGTCAAACAAAGAATGAACTGACTGGAGAGAACTCTGCCATTATGCTTCGGTCCCTGCCCAATCGCACAGGCGTAGACAATGCCTGGCTACCAGCGTTCGTCGCGGATACAAGGAAGCGTTTCATTTCTTTGCTCGCAGGACCTTTTCGCGATTTGGAAATTCGCCTGTCCATCTCCGTCCTGGACAATATGCATGGTGCCTCTGATTCCGACCGGTCGAAAAATTCAATGAGCAAGATTGGCGCTGACGAGCTCGACTACTACCTAACGCCGCATGACATGAAAAGGTTGGAACAGTACGGTCGGAATCTTTGCGACCACCATCTTGTCACGGACTTGATCCCAATCGTGGCTCGACTCTACTTCACAGGTCGGTTCGGAGAGGAGTTCAATGTTTCAAGTGTTCAATCAGCTCTGCTTTGTGGGATTGGATTGCAAAGCAGAACCATTGAGGGCCTGAGGGCTGAGTTAGGACTTCCATCTAACCAGGTATTGGCTATGTTCAATAAAGCAATTCGCAAACTGTCGATAGCATTGAATGCAATCGTTGAAGAGCGAGAAAAGGAAAGTTTGCTCGGGGGTGAAAAGCGAAAGAAGGCAGAAGCGAGAGCTGAGAAAATGAAAAACGTTGATCGACAAACATTGGCAGATGATGTCGAGGAAGCCGCACAAGAAGCGATGGAGTCCATGAAAAACCAGTAAGTTCAAAAGACACCGTACAGTCCATCGCCAATATGAGAATGAATACAGGGCTCACCAGCAACTCTCACGTTTGTAAACTAGGGAATCGTCTCTGCCGCCAGAGATTGCACAGGACAAGTCCCTGATGCAGTATGCCGTGAAGGGTTCTGACGATCAATGGAAGAAAGCTCTCGGCGGGAAGAGCTTGGATGGCCCTGCAACAGTCCAAATCCAAACCATCAGGGAGAAGCGCAAGCTTGGTGAAGATGATGTTGAGAAAGAGATAGAGCAGGAAGAGAATTTGTACAAGAAGAGTAAGAAGGGAAAGAAGTCCAAGAAAGGTTCGAAAAAGGGCCGAGGCTAGACTAGAAGGTAATTGTTGTAACGCTTCTTCTATCTATTTTATTGTATCTTCTGTAACAGTCGATGCTTGCGTTCCGGCTCCAAATATGTTGGGGCAATCCAAAGGCTGCTCTCAACCCTCTGCTCAGCATCCGTTCGCCTAGCTTGGCAACGATTTCGTTCGAAGTCCTTTGAATGCGAGGTTCCTGACCCAGCTTTCGCAAGATGGGCACAAACTTTGCTGGATCTGCTTGTCCACCTTGTGCTCCCAGCAAGGCCAGTATTCTTCCAAATCTTTGCATTGACCGTGTCGCCTCCGATAAAACCTCGTGCAGATTCTCCTCAAAACGCTGTCTCACTCCGTCAAGATGATGTTGAGAAGGAGATAGAGCAGGATGAGAAATTGTACAAGAGTAAGAAGGGAAAGAAGGCCAAGAAAGGTTCAAAAAAGGGACGAGGCTAGACTAGAACGTTATTGTTGGAACGCTTCTTCTATCTATTTTATTGTATCTTCTGTAACAGTCGATGCTTGCGTTCCGGCTCCAAATATCGGTGGGGGCAATCCAAAGGCTGCTCTCAACCCTCTGCTCAGCATCCGTTCACCTAGCTTGGCAACAATTTCGTTCAAAGTCCTTTGAATGCGAGGTTCCTGACCCAGCTTTCGCAAGATGGGCACAAACTTCGCTGGGTCTGCTTGTCCACCTTGTGCTCCCAGCAAGGCCAGTATTCTTCCAAATCTTTGCATCGACGGTGTTGCCTCAGGCAAAACCTCGCGCAGATTCTCCTCAACACGCTGTCTCACTCCATCAAAGCCATCGGTCTGTTGCTGCTGCACAATATCTTGCAGCGACCTGAAAGCTTTCACAGCCGCCACTTCGTCGTTGATGACCAAAGCTCGTGCGGCATCGAAGACATAGCGATAGGTCTCGGATCCTAGACTGTCGGCAGCCTCAACAATCTCCTTTGTCAGTTCTTCAACGACACCCTCTCCTTCGGTGGAAATAAGGAAACTCGTCAGCATATCCACAGCTGCAGCAACATCGTAATCCGAAGTTTCTTTTGCTTCCTGCAGAAGACTCTCCAACCGATTCCAGCGGACTTTGCCGTCGCTGGTAAGTGCAAGTCTCCGAAGCGCTTCTTGCAAGTCGTCTTGAGGATCGGTCAAAACACGGCTAGCTACGTACGGATAGGCTTTGCTGACAATTCTGGCCTGCGGATCAACCTGTTCAGTGCGAGGTATGGCAGGATGTGAGGCAAATACTGTCCATCAATCCATCGTCAAGTCACAGGAACTCGCTTACCTGTATTGCCAAACCTTCCAAGACACCGAGGCATCGAATGATTGCAATGTAAAAAGGCGGGAGAGAGAAGGGATATGTGTACATGATGTCTCCGAGTTTATTGACGACATTCTTGAAGTTCAGCTCGCTGATATCAGCGTTGAGTACATCAGGCAGTGCGTTCTCAAGAGCCACTTCAATAGGTTTCAAGTCTGTACCCTCGGGGATGAATCCCAGTTTCTGATACAAGCGAACCAGCTCACCCCAATCACGGTTTACAATGTGCACCACAGCCAGCAGGAAACCGTTCCTTTGTTGCGTATCTGCAAAACTCATCATTCCAAAGTCGAGGTAGCACAGACGGCCGTCGGGGCAAGCCAGTAGATTGCCTGCATGTGGGTCTTGGTTTCACAGAAAAACATTAGATGAGTGAGCAAGACTTCACGCAGAATTCTTGACATCATGAACTACACAACGCGTACCTGCGTGAAAGTATCCATTCTCCAGCACCTGTTTGAGACTGCATTGAACCAACGTGTTGACAAGCTTGGACGGGTCGAGGCCATACCGTGACAAGGTTTCTTCATCCGTGAGACGGAAACCATCTACCCATTCCATTGTCAGCACTTTGCTAGTTGTGAGCTCAGAGTAGATCTTTGGTACGAAAACGTCCGTAACTCCAGCATAGAGTTCATTGAAGCGCTGGGCATTGGCTGCTTCGGCCACGTAATCGATTTCTCTGGAAAGTATCGATCGCGGCAACTTGCAGTGAGAACGAAATCGAATGGTACGGCATCACGACGTTGGTGCAAGCAACTGTAAATTGGACATACCGATAGATGAGGGTTCCAAAGTCATCAATCACAGACTGAAGATCGATGTCTCGGTTGAGCAGCCTAAAGATTTGGTTGTAGACACCACTCCACCACCTCAAGATGTAGAGGTCCAAGGCAATAATTTCTTCACATTTCGGTCTTTGAATCTTTAAAGCTACCGTGTCTCCATTGGATAGAAGCCTCGCTTTGTAGACTGTTATGAATGAAGCGTTAGATACATGGTCGTGAACAAGTGACACAAACTTCACCAGGCATAATTGAGGAGCCCTCACCTTGACCAATGGAGGCGGCAGCTACTGGTTCTTCCTCTACCAGTTCAAAGACGTCGTCGAAAGCTGGAAGCCAGAGAATGAACTAGTGAGTCAGACAATGGTTTGGACTGCTGGTTGGAGACAGCCATTCTCTTGCTTACCAACGCCCAATTCTTCTTCCACCGTCTGGAAAGCCAGTTCATTGGAAAAGCGAGGAACATCGTCCTGAAGCTTTTGGAGTTCCTCGAGGTATTCTGAGGGAAGCAAATCAGGGCGAGAACTCAAGGCTTGACCTCCTTTGATGATTGCCTTTTTCCAAGCAGAACACAGAATTCATTAGCGCATGGAAAGATCCGTCAGGTGTGTTGTCAAAGTGTCTCCACTGCTGCCATTGTCATTTTCATTTGTCACTCCACTACTACTTACCGGTCCCAAGTAGGTAATGGCATTCAAGAGTTGTTGGGCCCTTTTACGGCGATTATCTCTCCCCATGAGATAATCAGAGACGACCCCCACAGCCCAGAATCCCATGGGAAAGGCAATCTGTGCATTCCTGACAATCCACTTGGCAGGTTGTTTAAAGAGGACCTTTTCGGCCACGACGGGATCGTATCGGACCAAGGGTTCGGCAATTTTCTGCCCCCGCGCCCATCTTGTGACATAGTCGCCTCCTTGCAAATGTCCATTGGACCAGAACTGATCGGGAACCACATTATTATTAGTAACATCGCTGTTGTCTCCGTTGCTGATTGGCGTCCTGGATGCTGCTACCCCATTGACAGCAGAAGTCGTAAAGTTGCTACCACTTGAAGAGGGTAACAGCAGTCTTCGGCCATTGTTGTTGTCTTCTCGTTCAACAGTGAATTGTGCCAGTAGTTTCTTGGCCTTGGTCAAACGGGCCGATTCCGTGACCACTGGTTCAAATTCCACGTCAATAACTTGATATTCTTCCTCGACGGTGGTAGCCTTTCGATTGGATGATCTTGAAGACGCCACATGGCGCAGCGAAACTGGTTGAAAGCCAGAGCCACCATGCCAGGAGAGCAGAAGGGAACATGCAATTGAAAGCTTCATCGTGGAGTGGCGTGCAGTGGAATGGATCTAGTCCAATCGGTCAACTCAAGACGGAAAAATGACTGGATGAAAGCTTTCCGTAGGCAAAGGATCTCTATAGAATCTGATGGCTGGCAGATTATTCCACCCACTCTTCTTTAGCTTCACAAAACACCAAACTTCGAAGAACGAAGGGCTGAGTCGGTCGTATCTTCTATCCAATCTATCTTTGCTTGCCTTATTGACACGGGCCTCCATTCGAAAGAAAGAGCTTGTATTGGAAGCTCGATGCGGTGGCAGGTCAAATTGCCAGGTGGGATATTCTGTCGTTGTTGAAGTTAATTAGCTCTGCAGGATGACGTGTTTGACTAAAATTTACACCGCTTCGGAGTTGAGTTGTTTGGTCTCCCAGACCACGCTCCTTTTGGTTTCCCCCTCAGTTGCACTCCCAAATCGATTTGCTGGCGTTTACTGTGTAAATTAGAGTACCGGCACTTCAGTTGCAGAATCAACGGTCATGTGTATCGTTAAGTAACAAGTTCCCTTTCGAAAGATTTAGATCGATTCGTGGATAAAAGAACCCTTGAAGTTACTAAGGTTAAGGATAAACTGATTGCCTGCACATGTACCGGTACTGTTCAAGTCCATTGTTGAAGGTGCAGCACTGACTTCTCTCCCTCATTGAATTGCTATGGCAAACAGGAGAGAAATCCAAGCTCGGCCGACAAGAATGGTGTTGGAACGATCAATCGAATGGATCGCAATGAGGTAAGCCTATTATCAAGATGTTTTTGAAGGTTAGATTCGAAAGCCACCCTCATTATTTCTATGACCATGGGCAGGCAGTCAGATCTCGGCCGTCAACAGGTGAGTTTGTTTTAATAATTCGAATCGAATCGCGCACCTCTATTATCTCTACTATAAAGCCTCACTCAAGCCGTCTTTCTCTGTAC